CCCCTCAAATATTGCAACACTGCTATCCTGCCTCCCTTGGTCCTTCTCTTCCCTAGACCAGCCAGGCCCAGTTCCTGCAACCGTTCATTGTCTGTTTTAGCCTCCAGTCCCCTCATCATCCTGGTTGCTCTTCTCTGCACTCTTTCTAGAGTCTCTACATCTTTTTAATAGTGTGGTGACCAAAACTGGATGCAGTACCAATTGATGAGCAGCTTCCTCTAATAGGCATTGTTTGCAAACAGGATGATGTCCTCATTGCTGGACTCCTGCAACACCCTCTATGAGGTGTTATCTTTGGAGCATGCTGGAAGCTGTAGAACACGGGGATGACCATGGAGGGACTAGGAAACGAATGGAAAGGAGAGAAGATCTAAGCCATCAAGAGATGAAGGACTGAGGAGATTCAGGGCTGCTGATCTCATAAATTGCAGCTCAGCTCATGTGGAGAAAAATCCACAAAGAAGCATTTCAAGCCATTCAAAGGTCTCCACCTTCATGATCTCACTATAAATAAGGAATGGACACTCCTTGAGCGGTTTCCAAGATTCTGGTTTGTATCTAAATACGCATTAAAGACACCTCCCTGAAATGGGTGTAGTTCTTGGTCTTGCCAGCTGCAGGAAGCTTCCCCATGAGTAGCCTGCCAGTGGGTCAATCCCACCAACATAAAATAACCCCTGATTGAGAGTAGTTGGCCTAGTGTCCAATCCAAAGGGTGGCTTTTATCTTTCAGTGTTATGTACGCAATGTTGGGATGGCCGGAACATCCAGGCCTTCAGAAAGGACATCTGGGAATCTCTCCCTGCTCTGGGATGGCCTCCACGGTGTGAATTCTTTCTTCCATGGAGGTTCACACAATTCTAACTCTCCTTGTATTTTTTTAAGCAAAGTTTTAATTTTTTGTTACATATTTTAACTTCTTTTGTAAACTAAGAGTTGTGGGGGTTTTCCCCCCTTAACATCTTCTCGTATGCATAGTTCATTTTACATCATATTTCCATTTTCGATTTCAGCCATATTATTTCCTTTCCATATTTTCCATCTTGTTTAATTTCTTCTTTATTGCTAAACAATATCATCATTTGTCCCTCCAAATTAATCAAATTTGACATTTCATTTCCATCTGTTATTCTATTTTATTATAGATAACCTATATGCTCAAACTTAATTTTGCTTCATAAACATTTTACTTTGTTAATTATCCACAATTAATAGTATTAATCTATTTCCCCCACATTGTATTAGCTATATGCCATTGGGAATATTTCGTATTTCATTCTATTCTACTAGTAACTCCTTGTATTTTGAAAGCATGTTGAAACTTTTCGATTCCATCAAAATCCCACCAAGAGTTGGTTGTGTAAGAAAATAAAATGGCGAGTGGGCAATGAACACCTGGCTTCATTGCCCACATATTCAAGTGACGTACTTATGAGGTTATGGTACACTTGCTGTAAGTGCCACAGCTGTATTCTCCGAACTGCTGTGGAAGGTTTAAATCAGGGGTGTCCAAACTTGGGAATTTTAAGATTTGTGGACTTTAACTCCCAGAATTCTCCAGATGGCATAACTTACTCTCTTGTAATCCCTTCCTCTGCAATCTCTCCACTTAGATCAGAAGTCTTCAAACTTGGTCACTTTAAGACTTGTGGACTTCAACTCCCAGAATTTTCCACCCAGCCATGCTGGCTGGGGAATTCTGCAAGTTGAAGTCCACAGTCTTAAAGTTCCCAAGTTTGGACACCCCTGGTTCAAATTCATTTCAGAAGCCATGGGGGGACAGTTGTGAAGCTGCTGTGAGTTCACAACTCTCTAGTGTTCTTTTTGCCATCTCTTCTGGTAAGGTGGGTGGGTTATGAACCTGTTTCTTCCGATGCCAACCCCAAGTGCACAGGATACATCAGCGTATCTTAAGAGTCAACCTACAGTATTTGCAGAATTGGGCCTGATCCCTTCCATTCTGCACCAGAACATGTCTGGAGAAAGCTGCTTATTCACCATTTGCTATTTTTATTATTATTATTATTCTGGTGTATTTCTGTGCTATTGTCATAGCTGCTGTGGTGATTTTTAGGCCTGGAGAATTCTTGGAGTTGAAGTCGACACATCTTAAAGTTGCTGAGATTGAGAGACTCTCATCCTAAACTTATCAGCTGAATTTGGATGTCGGATTAAAAACAGAGGTTTTTTGGGAATACCCCGTTGATTTGCATTTCCCTTTTTTTCTGTTTCCTTGAACAAATCAAGCCTTAAGCTTAAGCATTGCAGTAACTGAAGAACGGTTCACTTTCCTCAGATGGACATGTTGTACGAATACCTGAATGATGTTTTATTCACCTTGGTTTAGAAAGCACTGTGTTGTGTGAATCCAGCCCAACAGAAGGAAAGGGCAAAAAGATACAGAAAAAGAAAAACCTCTCCATGTCCTCAAATGTCCATGGAGGTTCTCAGTCATCCAGGCCCTGGTTGTCCCAAAGGTGCTTTCTTCAAGAGGCAACTGGACTTTCTGTTTTTTCTTTGAAGAAGTTTTGCTTCTCATCCAAGAAACTTCTTCAGTTCAGTTCAGTTCAATTAAAGAAGCTTCTTGGATTAGAAGCAAAACGTCTTCAAAGAAAAACCAGAAAGTCCAGTTGCCTCTTCTAAAAGCACCTTTGGGAGTGCAACAAGGGAGAAGGCAGCTGAGCTTAACCCCAACACTTCCATCATCAGCAGTGGTCAACCGATGAGCTCGAGGGGACCATAGGGTACAGGCAGAAAAGCCAAGATGATGTCTCCAACAGTGAGACTGAAGCGCTACCCATTCTTAGGTATGTCTCATGGGGAACACCATAGCCACTTCCATCTTGCCTTCTTTTGACCATATCCTGAAGATAACTCTAGATTCCTACCAACCTTCGTCAAGGACACTTGAATGAACTTGGTCAGGCAAAGCCGAGTTACACATTCCTTCCTTCTGTGAGGATTTTTAGTCAATGCTGCAAGCACCACACAAATGAACACAATGCAACACAACTATTATTAGGACTGGAATCATCCTCATCACAACCATCCTCATCATCACCACCCTGTTGGTGATGGTACCAGTTTTGCTTTCATCATCCTTAAGAAATCAATAAAGGTACATAAAATCATTAGATACACAGAATTGATTGGTTGATGGGACCTTAGGACAACTTACTGAGCGTGACTGTCTCGTTGATTCTGAAGCTACAGAGGACTCGATCCACATTCCGTGCGTGTCGGAAGCCATTTCCTGTCACCACAACTTGGAAGGACTCTGAAAGTAAAGAGAAACCACTTATTTGAGAAGGGCATTAGAGGGTTTTTTTTTTAATTGATTGATTAGGTGCCAACAAGACATTTTGTTTTAGTCCTAGCAGCCACCTAGATATTTCTCTTGATTTTAAAATAATTCCGGATTCATTAAAATTATAATTAAATGATAATGCAAGATGAAGGAACTTGGCTCAAGCATTTTATTTGTGGATTGTTTGGTTTTACTTTTTTGACTTGACTCCCAGCACTCTATCAACCGGGAAAATTAAGATAACAATAGAAGAGACTCTACATAGCTCAGGGTTGGATGCTTGGCAGTTTTCTTGCAGATGTTTTGTTGAACATGAAGATGCTACCTGGCCTGGTAATGAAACATCTGCAAGCAAACTAGCAAGCAAGCTCAGAGAGCACCAAAACCTCCAGAATTAAGCTAACTTTCAATTTTTTTGGCAGTGATCTTAATTAAGATCCTGAGAATGTGGCAGAGCATATTTGGGGCCCAAAAAGATGTTGGAACAAGAAACATAATTAGTAGAGGCTCAACAGAAATGGAAGTCCTCACAAATGCTCCCGAAATTTATAACAGAATCATTTCTGAAAATGATGAAACATACAGCTGTAAATGACGTTTTTATACAGTCCATCTGTTTGCAGCTGTTTTCTTCCAGCATCACAGAAGGGCTTTGAGAGTAGAATTTGAGCAGTAACCAACAACAGAAAGAAAAAAAAAGGTGATAGTCTTAGGATACAATCTTATCTCATCCTAAAAAAGACAATTAAAACATTTGGAGGAAATTGGTGGAACACTTAATATTTTGTAAAACGTAGATCCAATATCATGCCCGTTAAGACATGTCAGTGGAAAAACTGGTCTGCAGACAAGAATTTGTTTATTACTCTTAACAAAGAAATTGAACATTTTGGGGGAATTGAGAGAAACAACTACACAATGCAGAATATGTGTGTGTGTGTGTGTGTGTGTGCACCATTTCAATCATATTTGGTCCAAGACTAATTTTGATTTAAGTTTTGGCCCCATGTGCTAAATGGTTGAAATTTGAAGTTTGTACACTTGAAAGTTACTGAGACATAAGTGTGTGTGTGTGTCTGTGTATGTGTATACACATAAGTGTGTGTATATACTATATATAACATATTACATATTTTTACATATCTTTTATCTCTATTGATTCCATACATCTTATATAGACATTTGGTTCTCTTATATTTCTTATTTTGTACTATTTTTATATACAATCTTATTTCTTATTTTTTCCTCCCTTTATTGCTTTCCTATTTTTTATCTCTTTCCTCTAGCCATGTGCACCATAGATTCCATACTAAGTAGTACTCGAATTCCTCTTGGTCTTTTAGTTCTTTTGTGAGTCTGTCCATTTCGGCGCAACTCCAGTACTTTTTTTAATCACGTTTTCTTCTGCGGGTGTTTTTTTGTTTTTCCAGTTCTGTGCGTATGTGATTCTTGCTGCTGTGATGTCATGTAGTATTACCATGTTTCCCCGAAAATAAGACACGGTCTTATTTTCTTTTTATACCCAAAATATGGCTTGGGCATTATTATGAGAGGAGGGTTTATTGTTTTGGGGTTGTCACACGGCTGCTCTCTTGAGAGCAGGCTCCCAAAGAGCCGGGCACAGTCTCAGGAGAGAACGGCTGTGTTACGCTATCGCAGCAGTGCAGCACAGCAGCCATGAAGCGACCATTCTCATGAGCAGCCACCCGGCAACCCCCCTTTCCAGCCAGGCACAGCACCATTCACTGACCTAGGGATATCGCCAAGCCACATGAGCGCCTGTTCGCCGCCGCCCGGTTCTCACAGCTTGGCGCCTTTGAAATGGCAGTGAAACACGCTCTGCATGGCTGGAGAAGGGAGTTGCACGAGCGGCTATTTCGCTCTTGCGCCTCCCAGCCTCACGATGCCCTGGCCCAGCTTTCCCCGCAGAGTCAGAGCACTTCCGCTGCTACCGCCGCCGCCATCCCAGCATGGCTTTTTCGGCGGCTTCCAAACTGAGTTTTCCTGCAGTGGCCGCTCTGGGCGTATGCTCTATGGTTGTACTTTCTGGGAGTATGCCCTGCCGGCAGCCAACTCACAACCATAGAGCATACGCCCAGAGCGGCCACTGCCAGAAGACTCAGTTTGGAAGCCACTGAAAAAGCCATGCTGGGATGGCGGTGGTGGCAGCAGCGGCAGCGGAGGTGCTCTGGCTCTGTGAGGAGAGCTGGGCCAGGGCATCATGAGGCTGGGAGGCACGCGAGCGGGAGCGGAACAGCGGCTCGTGTAACCCCCCTGTCCAGCCATGCAGAGTGCCATTCACTGGCATTTCAATTCACCAAGCTGCGAGAGCTGGGCGGTGGCAAACAGGTGCTCATGTGGTTTGGTGATACCCCTAGGTCAGTGAATGGCACTGTGCCTGGCTGGAAAGAGGGTTTGCTGGGTGGCTGCTCATGAGCATGGTTGTGTCATGGCTGCTGTGCTGTACTGCTGCGACAGCCCAACACAACTATTTGCCCCTGAGGCAGTGCCGGGCTCTTTGGGAGCCCGCTCGCAAGAGAGCAGCTGCCCAGCAACCCCCCTTCAGCTGGGCACAGCGCCACTCACCAACCTAGGGTATCCCGAAGGTGCCAAGCAACATGCTCACCTTTGCCTCCCCAGTTCCCGCGGCTTGGCACCCTCAGGATACCACTAGCTTGGTGAGTGGCGCTCTGTCTGGCCAGAGGTGGGGGATTGTCCAGGGGGCTTATTTGCGGGGGAGGGCTTATTTTGCCCACCAGAAAAATGTGGCAAGGCCTTAGTTTCAGGACAGGTCGTATTTTAGGAAAAACACCGTAGGTATTTGGTTTTTTCCTCATAGTTCCCTGTAATTATGCCTAATAAGAATAGTTCCAGTTTTAATTCTATTGATTGTGTAATAATCTCTTCAAGCCAGTTTTTTATTTTTGTCCAGTATATTTTTCTTTCAGATGAGCATCTGCCTTTCAGTTGGGGGGAGGGGGGGGTTGAAGCACAGCCAAAAGGAAGCACTGAAGCCTCCAAATGCCCCTAATAATCAGTACGATAAAAGGCACCTTTTGAGCTGCTTCTGTGAGGAAAAGTCAGAAGCAGCAGCACTTCACCAAGAGTTCTCTAAACAGTTCCTGCCCTGCAGTCAGCAAATTTTGCCTGTGCAAGAGGGCTTAAAACGAAAGCGATCCGGAGAGCAAGCAAGGATGACTTCCAATGCTTTGAAGCTGAGTGACCCTGCTTTCTGCTGAATCAACATTATCTCGGATGCTCAAGAGCCACCGCCCACGCCCTTTCTGTCTAAATCCATGGCCTGGGGGTCATGAGGGGGGTGCGTCTCCTGCACTGTAGCTGCACAAAGCCTACGAGTTGACTCAGGAATCTCGGCTCTGCTCCAACCAAGGCTCCAGTTGCTTTCATCCCAAAGCCCCAAAGGTGCTTTATTTTTTCCAAGAGGCAGCTGAACTTTCTGTTTTTTTCTTTGAAGATATTTAGCTTCTCACCCAAGAAGCTTCCTCAGCTCTGGCTGGATGGTGGTGGAATGAAAGGATTTATACTCCTTGCAGACAGCTGGTCATTTGCATCCTTTTAGAGAGTCGTTGAGGCCACCTGGAGGTTTATCTGTGTCCTCAGGGTCACCTGAGTGGTGCAAATCAGTGGTGGGGTTCAAAGTATTATATTACTGGTTCTGTAGGTGTGGTTTGGTGAGCATGGCATGGCATGGCTTGGTGGGCGTGGCAGGGGAAGGATACTGCAAAATCCCCATTTCCTCCCGATCAGCTGGGATTCGGGAGGCAGAGAATAGATGGGGGCAGGGCCAGCCAGAGGTGATATTTACTGGTTCGCCGAACTATTCAAAATTTCCGCTACTGGTTCTCCAGAACTGATCAGAACCTGCTGAATGCCCCCTCTGGTGCAAATGGTTGTGGAGCCTTCTTGGAACTGCTGAAAGGACTATGCTGTAGACTGGAGATAGATGAGTCATATCCCTCCCCCGCCTTCCATTCGCCATCACCCAGTCAGAGCTGAAGAAGCTTCTTGAATGAGAAGCAAAACATCTTCGAAGAAAAACCAGAAAGTCCAGTTGCCTCTTTCCAGCCTGTTTTGGGGTAAAGGTGGAAATGACTACAGAAAAAAAAGAAAATAAATAAATGCAGTTGGTACTGCTGAAAATCAGCATTTTCGCCGCTGAATTTAGGCTGCGTGATATGAGTGTAGGTCACAATTATGTGGAGCTGGAATGGATTTGTAGCAGAACATGAGCTGAGCTGGAAGGTGGAGTTAAGCATGTCACGAGTTTGGAGTCATTGTGTTGCCACAAGAGATCCAAGTCCAGCCCAATGAATTCCATTGACCTTTATCCAGGGCCAATTTACTTTTGACCATCCGTTGACTGGATTATTCTGTCTAGGTAGCAATAATATACTTTTTTTTTGCTTTGAACACAACAAACGTTTCTGGTTATTTGCAACTGACAGGACCCCATGGTCATCTAGTCCAACCCAGGGGTGGGTTGCTGCTGGCGTCACTGCTGGTTTGCAACCCGTGCACCACAGGTGCGGTGCACTCGTGTGCACTGTTCAATGTAAATTGTTCTTTGTGCATGGGCAAAACAATTTACAGTGAACTGCGCATGCGCAATCACTAAAATCCAAAATGGTGGCGGCCAAGCAGCAGTGAGGGAACCGGTTGTGGGCGTGGCAGGCCTGGGTCACTGCCGGTTCTGCGACCCAGGCCTGAATTCTAGTTTGAATTCAAACTGGCAGAAACATACCTCTAGTCCAATCCTCAGCAATATGCAAGAAAGCTAATTAAATCATCCCAATAGGTGCATATTTAATGCCTTGTTCAAATCCTCCAGCTCAATACCCGAGATCTATGTTCCACAGTTTGCCTAGAAGGTGTTTTTTTGTACATTATTTGCAGTAAATTAAAAAGAATTCCATTTTGTCCTCCAGCAGTACATCTATACATGCAAGAAAGGATACCTTTTCCACTTAAACTCAGCAATTGAAATAATTATAGTAGTAGCTTGACTGTTACAAGATGCTCACCCAGACTGACTACAAACAACGGCACGACAAAGTAGCAACAAACAGAGCATTGCAATACTTGCAAGAAGTACCACTTGCCTGCAAGCAGGTGGGATCACTAAATAGATCAAGCAATAGAAAATGCGGAAGCTCAAGTGATGTGTGGGTCTTTAGAGTTCATAAGTCAGCACCTGCCACATAACACCCCACACTTAAGAACTGTTGATAAGAAAGAGATTAAAAAGTGAATAATAGTGAATGTTGCAGTACCTCAAGATAGCAGAAGAGAAGAGAAAGAACTGGAGGAAATCACGAAATACAAAGACCTGTAAATAGAAGTAGAACAATGGTGGTAAAAGAAAACCATTGTCGTAGGCGCCTTGGGTGCAAAACAACTGGATCATCACCTGAACACCATTGGTGTCGACAAAATCATCACCGGTCAATTGGAAAAGGCAGCTTTATTTGAAACAGCTGACATCCTGCAACAGTGCTGTACCTTGAACATTTTACAACTATGACATCTGCCTATCCCAGGTCCTTGGGAAGGACTCACTCAGTAGGTGGACGGAAGTGCCAAATCCAGCCTAAACATGGATATGGCTGACCAACATAACAACAACAAAGCAGCAGAGGGATTGCCAGCTTTGTATAAATCTCAGGTCAATGTTCTAGCTTTCAATTGTAAATTTTGGCATCTGCACATTGGGGAAGAAAACCAGGAATTCAAGTAAAGGAACAAAGTAGATCAGAGGGGGCCTGGACTCTATGATACTTTAAAAATATATCAGGACCAGATAATTTAAAGGTACTTTCCCTTTTTTGGCAGCCTCTAGAGGTAATTTCATCTCCCAGGGTTCACACGAGCAGAGACCACCAGGTGGAACTCCTTTCCCCAGATGTTCTGCCTGTTAGGCAGATGTTTTCCTCACTGTTTTACTCGCTCCCACTACAAATGCCGTCTATTGAATTTTGGGGAAGTGGTTTCCCAGATTCTTTTAACCAGAGAAGCCCAAAGAGAATTTTCTGCTATTTTCCTCCGCTGTAGAGGTCCTGCTGAGAACTTAAGATCAAAACTCTCTATGTGGACTGGAGTCTCAAAAATGCCTATTGCAGCTTCAGCTTGTTCTGGATTCTTGAGGGTACAATAACAGCCTTCACCTGCTCTTTTGGCATGTTTTTATTAAGTGGGTGTCAACTCTGAAGCTGGCCTGACTGAGGCCATCTTGGAGGCTTCAAGGTTTGCCCCAACGGTGATGAGGGATAGGGAGGGGGGAATAGAGATAGCTGGGGTTTTGTAGCCAAAACAAAATAGTTTCCCCTAAGAACCAAGGACATTCTAATACCTGGTCAGAGAGAGGAGGAGCAATGTTACCAGGTGACCAGACAGCACCTTGATTGGACCATGTGACTGATTGTTTGGGGAAGGGGGAAAAACTTTTTACTTTTAATTAGGTGAAAACTGTGGGAACCTTTAGAGTTGGTTTTCACCAATCAGTGTCAATATGATAAATCCAATAAGCGGTTCTTTGAGGAACCTACTTGCCTTGGAGTTCTGTTTCTTATGGGTGTATTACTTGGACCGGCAGTGGGGGCTTTAAGATTTTTATTCATCCAACATATCTACTCAGTTCTACACTGAAAGTATCAGCTAGTTTCCATCCATGTCCCTTCTGTCGAACAAGGAAATATCTGAATAATGAAATATCATTAAAACATCTGAAGATAAAATAAAAACCGAGAACAATTGAACTCATAGCTTCGTTCATTAGGACATTGACCAACCCTTGGATGAGAACACCTTTTAATAAACAGAAGTCAATTTTAGTCTGCGGCCTAAACCCTCTGTATGAGCAATCCTATGAATTGTGCTTTCCACATTTTGTAATGCAGTTCTGGAATCAAACACCGGATGCCGAAACATTGGAGAAAGTTGTTAGATTGTGAATTTTAAGGCAGTCTTGTTTTAGATTTAGAATTTTAGATGCAGGCTAAAATTGGATGGACCAGACTGATGATTACACGCCCCCCCCCCCCCCAATCAGCAAGGACTGAACAAAGACAGCTTATTCATTGGTAGAACATAAAATGGGTGGGTCAGCATTCTTCATTGCATAGCTGTGTCTGCAGACTTTTGAAAGCCTGGGGAATGAACCAAAGTGTGTTTCTCATCTAACATGTAAACTCACTCCCATTTATATCCAAAATAATTAGCAAACAGTTGGTGGAGCCCATGAACTCTGAATAACTCAGTGATTCTGCAGGGCCTCATGGCTCTCCTTCTTCTCCCCAGCGAAATGTTAGATGTTTAAATAAGCCAATGGGGACCCTGAAGGGGCAAAAGCCCTCTGACTGAGGTGGGTGCCAAGCTCTGTTTGCCAGCTGCTGTCCAAGGAGATGAACTCTCTCCAAAATAAAACAGGTTCTTTTCCCCCCCCCAGTGAATCTATGCCAGAAACACGAGATCAGAATGTAGGAAAGAGAGAAAATAAGCAGTCGAGGTTTTTTTGCAGGAGAAGCTGGAATAAGCCTGAAGCGCTGGCTAGAAGGTCTCTTCAACATTGATTTATCTCCTAGGAAGTCCACTTTGAAATAAAATTCAATCATTGGCTCATTTCCAGCTTGCTCCTGTTCATACATCTAATGCCTATCTAGAAAGCAGAGACATTCGCCTCCATTGCAAATGTGGAGCTTCTCAGAGGACTTGTGTTGAGTAGGTTGATGGGACCCTCTACTTCTCATAAAGGTATGAGATTTTCTGACAGTGAGAACAACCAATCAGTGGAAGTGCTTGCCTCCAGAAGTTGTGGGTGCTTCATCAGGGAGGTTTTCAAGAGGAGACCAAACACTGTCTTACATATTCCAAGCCATATTCCTGAATCCAGTTTATTCTTTTTGCTCCCAATCCTTTGGATGTGGAATCGGTGGCCCTATTCCCAATCCTGTTATACCTCCTGGCAGGGAAGCTAAAGTTTGAAAAGGGACAAAGCCAGGATGGAGGATGGTGAGATCTGTGCTTTTTTTTCTTGTTTCAAACATTATACATGGAGACAGAGTGGAGCAAGTGGCCAGTTTTAAGTTTCTGGGTGTTATCCTAAAAGAGGACTGGATCTGAGGCACTCATATTGCAGCCCTGGTCAAAAGGGCCCAGCAGAGATTATATTACCTGAGACTTCTCGGGAAACAACAACTGAAGGAAAAACTGCTGATGACCTTCTATCGCTGC